GTATATTCCCAGTAGTGGAATTGCTGGGGCAAATGGTACCCTCTATTTGCAACTTTTTGAGAATGCACCATACCACCTTCCACAGGGGTTGCACCATTTTAGACTCCCACCAACAGTGAATAAGTGTTCCAGTTTCTCTACAACCTCATCAGCATTTGTTGCTTGCTGTTCTGTTAAATTTTGCTATTCTGACTAGGGTGAGAAGTTATCTCATAGTTGTTTCAATTTGCATCTCTCTTAGAGCTAGGGATTTTGAACATTTCTTGTTTGGTGAATTGTCTGTTCATATCCTGTGCCCATTTTTCAGTTGGATTCTTTACCTTTATCTTGTGGTGCTCAAGTATTTTATGAATTCTGGATATAAGTCCCTTGTCTGACATGTCATTCCCAAATACTTTTTCCCAGTCTGTGGTGTCCCTTTTTACCCTCTTGGAGAAGTTTTTAGATGTGCATAGGGATTTGATTCTTAGAAGGTCCCATTCATCTACTTTATCTTCTCCTGGTTGCAGGTACATTAGCTACTTTCTGAAGAAATTAGGAAATCATCTTACAAGTAAAAATAAGTTCAAGGTCAAATTCACTATCACAGTAACTAGCCTGTGTCTTAATCAGAACTGATTGCATCACATTACCTTTCCTGCTTCCAATATTCCTGTGTTTGTTGTGAACTTCCAGAGTTTTTCCTCAGATGGTCATCCTATACCTGTGTCTTCAGTGAATATATATTTAGATAAATCTTTATGTCTAAAATTAATATTTTTTTTAAATTAATATTTTAATTAATCTCTCATTTACTCTTTCTACGCTCTAAGTCTTCTCAGTAAATCTCTTGAAAATATGGATTGGATAATTTTCCTGCTCAGACACAGTGTTCCACTATATTTTGAACACTTTACCCTGTTTTCGAGGACTTCTGTAATCTGGCAACATCCTCCCTCTCACTTGGTCTCCCATTGCTGCGTATTTATTATATACCATAATTTCCAGCTAGAATTAATTTCCTTCTCCCAGCACTCCCCAAATATGTCTTGTCCTTTTTTGTCTCTGTGTCTTTGCTTCCGTTTTCCTCTCTATTTAAAATGTTGTTCTCTATATAGTTTTTAGTCAGGGATCCAAGTTGAGTCTTCTCTTAACAGACACCTCTATGATCATCATGGAAATGTTGTTGTTAGGTGCTATTTAGTCGTAGACGACTCATAGCAACCCTATGAATGAAAGGCCTGAGCACTATTCATAAAATTTCCGGAGGTAAACCATTTTGGAAGTGGATGTACCTCCTGCTTCCAAGCATGTTTTAATCATAAAGCTCCACTAAACACTGTGCACTATGGGTAACCATTATCATGTTTGGCACATCAGTGTCACAGTATTTAGCATCACAGCAATCACAAGTTGCCTCTGTACAGCAATGCACAGCCATAAGCCTGACAAAAAAGCACAGGACCCCAAAAACTTGAGATTCCATCGTAGAAAGATAAATGTTGAAATGCACACTGGGCCTTAGAGCATGTTAAATTGCTCATAAGGCAATTAAAACTGGTCAAGTTTTTTAAAACTTTTGCCTGGATGTGACAGATATAATTTCTGCTTATATTTCATGGACTAAAACACCTTCCATCTACCTTTGAAGTCCTGGAGTTGGAAAACTAACAGGGAAGAATGAATTTTGCATCTCTCAGGCTGAAAGAACCGAAAAAAAACAGCGTAACTTTGCGTTGCAGTATTGAAGAAATCTAAGTGTGAAATGTTGAATGATTCAGGGAGCAGCTAAGGAAGATGACTGGAATACACAGAGTCCCTGTGCCAAAATGAATTTTGGGTTTTTAGGTCATAGATCAGCCATTGCACAAATATGTGATGATGAACTTAATAATAGTACAAAAAGAAGTCCAAGCTACACTGAAGTCAATGCCAGTAATTGAGAGAATAATAATTTAGATGTTTCAACAACTAATGTAACATTGGACATACTTACCTATCTGTGCTAAGAAATGTGAAAGTTAGACATTTGGAAGAAATGTATATTTGTACCCATTTCAAAGAAAGATGATCCAACAGAATGTCGAAATTAATGAGCAGTGTACAGTAGCTTGGCTGACTGACTAGAAGAGTTCCCATTCCTAACGAAGGTCATCCAACACAACGGGGAAACAATCATACAATATCATTAATATCACATGAAAGCAAAATATTACTGAATATCATCCCCAAATGGTTAGAACTTTACATTGAGAACTATTAGACATCACGCTGGGTTTAGAAAAGACCTTGATATTAGGGATATCGTTGATAATTCTGGATAGAACCTGGCTTAAAGCAGAGAATACTAGGAGAATGGCTATTTGTATTTTATTGCCTATGGAGAGGCATTTGACTGCGCGGATTATAAGAAATTATAACCATCATTGAAAATAATGGGAATTCCAGAAACCTTATTTATGCTCATATGAAATCTATACCTAGATGAAGAACCTGTTGTCTGAACAGAACAAGGAAATACTCCCTACCCCTCTCTTCCACCCACCCCCCTCACCCCCCATTTCCCTCTTCTTCTTGAAAGGAAAGGAAAACTCTTTCATTGTTAGGCAGTCCCTTCCTGCAAGTCCACTCCACTATGCAGCCTTCACTCTGGAGTTCTGCATTGACAAGAATACCTATTCATATATCCCTTTTAAACTGTTCTGGCCGTCATCTTTTGCAATGCAATATACATCATTCCTCCCCTCCTTTTCTGTCTTCCCTTATCCCTCATTCAGTCAGGGCCCTATTCAATATTTGTCCTTTTGCGACTGAGATAATTCACTCAGAATAATGTCATCCATTTTGCATAATATTTCATGAGTTTCTTGTTTTTCAATGCTGCATAATATTCTATTGTGTGAATATACTAGAGCTTCTCTATCCAGTCATTTGTTGATGGGTACTTGGGGTTATTTCCAGCTCTTTGCCATTATGAACAAAGCCGCAGTAAAGGTGGGTGTGCATATATCTGCTTGGGTGGCAGTTATGGTTTCTTTGACATAAATTCCCAGTAGTGGAATTGGTGGGTCAAATGATATTTACAATTTTTTGAGAAAGCGCCATATAACCTTCCATAGTGGTTGCACCAATTTACACTCCCACCGACAGTTTCTCCACAATCTCACCAGCATTTGATGTTAGGTGTTCTGCTAGATTTTGCTATTCTTACTGGGGTGAGATGCTATCTCAGAGTTGTTTTGATTTTCATCTCTCTTAGAGCTAGGGATTTTGAACATTTCTTCATGTCTTTGTTACCCAACTGAATGTCTTCTTTGGTGAAGTGTCTGCTCATATCCTGTGCCCATTTTTCAATTGGGTTATTTACCTTTATCATGTTGTGGTGCTTGAGTATTTTATAAATTCTAGATATAAGTCCCTTCTCTGACATGTCATTCCAAACACTTTTTCCCAGTCTGTGGCTTCCCTTTTTACCCTGTGGGAGAAGTTTTTGGATGTGCATAGGGATTTGATTCTTATAAGGTCCCATTCATCTATTTCATACTCTCCTGGCTGTAGAGTTTTCAGGATGCTTGGAAGACTATGTTGTGGATTAGGACTTTTAGAGTTCTTCCAAGCTTTTCTTTAATGAAGTTTATATTCCTTGATTTTAGTCCTAGGTCCATAATCCACTTAGAGTTGGTTTTTGTTTATGGAGTGAGGTGTGGATCTTGCTTTGGTTTTTGCAGATATTTTTCCAATTTTGCCAACACCATTTGTTAAAAAGGCTGTCATTTCCCCACTTAACTGATTGCATTTCCTTGTCAAAAATCAGCTGATTTCTGGATTCTCAATTATATTCCATTGGGTATATATGTCTGTCATTGTACCACGCTGTCTTGACCACCACAACAGTGTAGTAGGATTTGAAATCAGGGAGTGACATTCTACCTACCTTTTTTCTCTTTTTAAGGAGTGCTTTGTTTATTCTGGGCCTCTTTACATTTCAAACATAACTGGAAATTGCCTTTTCTGTCTCGTTAAAGAGATAAAATTCAAGGAACACATGGGGGGAAGAAAAAACTATATCAACCAATGTGCATTGAGAAAACCTATTGCAAAAGACCTCTTTTAAAGAGTTCTTTAAGTGTTACAAAAGCCAAGATGTTGCCTTGATGATTCCCCAAGCCATGACATTTTCAGTCATCTCAGTGTGCATGCAAGATTTCGACAACGAAAGAGATTGAAGAAGAATTTATGCATGTAAATTATTATATTGGTGATGAGTATTAAATAGAAAATTAAGTCTTAAGAGAACCACAGCGAATGTTCCTTCTAAGTAAGAATATGTTACCAAGAGGGAGGCCAATCCCTAGAGAAGGACTTTGTTCTTGATAGAGTCATTGAAATAGAAGAGATCCCTCAGAAATGGATTGATACAGTGGCTTCAGTAGAGGCCCCAAAAAAGCAGTGTTTGTGAGGATTGCAAATGACCAGCCATTTGTCTCATTTTATTGTCCTTACGATTGCTGTGATGTGGGTGACTCCACAGCACCTAACATCAGCAACCCTAAAAGGAGATGAAATTTCTATCAAGTCCCAGTATAGAGTGAAGCAAATGAATACTTGGGGTACAAACTATTAACTTCTCCTATCTATACTCAGTAAGAACTGACTGATTCATTTTATTGATTGAAATGAACAAGTTTAAGTTTGGTAGGATCTATTTCAGTCATTAAATCAACTGAGTGAGTTCTTGTGTACATAAATTTAAAAAAACAAAATCCAAATCAATGCTGTCAAATCAGTTTCAACTCATCGTTATCTTTTCTTGGGTTTCTGAGACGGTTAGGTTAAAATGCGAGGAGACCAACCATATTACTCCCCCAGAGCAACTGGTGGATTAGAATTGACAGACACACTATGTACTACATCTACTAATCTGTATTAATTTAAGATACTCATCTGGAAATCACCCTAATTCATTCCAATTTTGGAATTATGCACATTGGTATAACCTTATCTTCTCGAGATTAGAATAATAGATACTACCTTATTCTACAGAGGTTTGTTTTCTGGTTCTGGTGAGGCTTGGATGTGTAATGTTTTAGTGTTCACTGGGTGTGAGCTGATTGAATTTAGCCTCCAATTTACAAAGTTTTCATTGTTTCTGGTCAAACATTCTTCTAAGTGGTATAATACTGGCATTTCCATTTGCTGTACAGAGGTATCTCATGGTTGTTGTGATGCTGAACACTTTGACAATGATGTGTCAATGCAATAATGGTTATTACCATGGTGGACAGTGTTTGCTGGAGCTCCCGATTAAAACTAGTTGGGAAGCAGGATTATCATCCACTTCTGAAATAGCTTGTCTCCAGAAACCCTATGAAATTGGAGAAACGTTGAAAGTTACACAATTGTTCAGGTCTTTTGTTCATAGAGTTGCTATGATTCATCTCCAACTCAATGGCAGTTAACAACAACAACAAGAGAGCTCATTTGGCCTAGTGGACAGAAACTGATGCTACCAATCCTAAGGTGGGTGATTTTAATCTGCTGTCCTCAGGCCTGGTTTTAATTGTTTTTGGTCAAACATTCTTCCAAGTGGTGTAGCCCTGGTCTATTCATTTGTTGTACAGAAGGTAACTCGTGGTTGCTGTGATGCTGAACACTGTGACACTGATGTGTCAAATGTGATAATGGTTACCTATGGTGGACAGTGTTTGATGGTACTACCCAATTAAAACAAGCTTGGAAGCTGGAGTGGCATCCACTTTTGAAATACCTTGCATCTGGAAACTCTGTGAACATGGTGATACAAACAAAGTTACACAGGTGTTCAGGTCTTTAATTCGTAGGGTCAGTATGAGTCGTCTCTGACTCTTCGGCAGTTAACAACCACTACTGATGAAGGTTTTATCTGAACTTTAAAACTGTCATCCATTAATTAATTCAACAATTGCTTTGCAATGTAATTTGCAGCAGTTAAGACAGCAGATATAGAACTGGAACAGAAACATACTTAGGGGATGTTTTTATATTACAGGTGAGATGCAATTCCTACAGACCAGAAGCTGCTCGAGAGCAAGTCCAGATTGGTGCTCACAGCCCCCCTCAATTTAGGTAAATGGGCGAATGGGGGACACTTGTCCTCCATGGTACCTTTCCCTGCCTCCACCCCTACTCAGACATCTCAGCTCCCCTCTAAAATAGGTGTCAATCTTGATTTCTCTCAATGACATTGAGTCAGTACCCATAGCTGACTCTCTGTTCGGTTTCCGAGTCTATAAATTTCATAAGAGGAGCTGTGGGTGTTGTTGTTGTTAAGTTCCGTCGAATCGCAGGCGTCATAGCTGTGGGTAGATTTTATAAATTTCTCCTGAGGAGTTGCAGCTAGATTCAAACTGCCAGAGAGGCATGACCTTTGATTTAGCAGCATAACTCCTTAATCACTACACCATCAAAGCGCAATGAATAGGTAGTTTCATTAAATTTAGTATCATTAACAACGTGATCTCCATATTATAGGGGGGACCAAAAAAAAAAACCCACCATACAGTACCTTACCAAATAGAAGATAAGTAACTTTTCCTTATTAGTAGTAAGCAGGTTTAGGTAACGTTCTCTTTTCAGGTAAATTTTTGCTGTGGTCACTTGTACACATCTCTGGTGTAGTGCTTTATCAGGACGCCAAGATAATTTGGACTGTAATTCCTAACCTTAGTAAATTTATTATTTTCTAATTTTTACAAAGCAGAAATTTATGGGCATCATATGTGACATTTCTCAGTTGGCTAGAATACTTTTATTTATTCAAACACATAATTATTTTAGCGAAATAATAGTCTTTATTGTCTTAAAAATCGAAGATTTCTTATGCACTGCCCCTTTAAAAGCACCAAAATCCCTCATTTGTCTTGTGGTAAAGGTTTTTAATGTCTCTTGTTCTTTCCTGCAGTTGACAAACAAATATGAATACTTTCTGAATTACTTTGCATACATTGGAGTGTACAGTGTTATTTATCAACTATAATAATATACAGTCCAAAGCTTCTATTTAAAAATAATTTGTTACCTGTTCAAGGGAGAAGACTATGAATTACAATCTTATTTAATTGTCAGAATATAAAATATTGAGTAATAATAAATTAAAGGTTGACCTTACCTACCTTCTGCATGGTTCTAGATTTTAGGATAAATTATCTGAGTTGGGGACAAAGAATTATACTGGGAAATCCAAGAAGCTATAAGAATTTACATTTATTCTTTCTTTGCTTAAAATATGTTATATATAGATATCTTCATATTTGATGTTTAATTCGTTAGCATATTACAGGTAAGTCCTATAAAAATTCTGTATTTTAAAATCTTTTTTCTAAAATCTTGCTATAGTAATGCCTCAGACATTTAATACAAATTACCTGCTGGCATAAAAATCTAATCACTGTGTTGGGAAGTCTCCCCCACTGGGCTGAACTGTCTGAAGGCTGATGATCTCTAATGGACTAAAATGTGCTCCTACTGACAAATCATGCCATTGAAACCACATAGTAGATTAATTAATCAACTCATAAATGTTTAGAAACTAATGTCCTTCTAACTAGTTGCCTGTAATGTTGGATGTTAGCCAACAATTTGCAGAATATGCTTACTAATCATTGGCCAAATTCTGTCTTTAACACTGCCCAGTGTGACTCACACTATGGAATAAACATCTTTCCTCATAGATCTAAACCAGAAGTAATAAGGGCATTTTGGCATAAACCATTGCCTTCATTCCAGTGTCCATAGGTAAGAAAGTCATTAGGGGTTCACCATGGTCGTCTCTGTGTGCCGGTTGGTCCTGAACTGATTCAGCTGCCTAGGAACTGCATTTGGATGTGCAAAAGATCTGCCTCTTCTCTTTCCCACTTCTCTGTTACCTTTCTCAGCTCCTTGTAACACTGTCCGGCAGGTTTTAAGTGTTTCTGCCTTTGAGAACAGGAAGAACTTTTGAAACTTCTCTTTTATTTTTGTCAAGACGTTGATCCATCCACTTCCTTTCAAGATAATGGGAAAAAGGCGGGGAAGTTTATAAACACTTGCATATAACATGAAATACTTTCAAGTGTCATCCCTGAAAATACAATCTGATGAGAAGTTCTGAAAGTTTTAAAAACTAAAAGGCATTTACTGTTTACAACAGACATTGATGCTTCAGGACTTCACTTCTGTGTGTGATTCAGCTTGACAGAGTTTGGGACATAATTTATTATTTGTAAATTACTTTTCTATAGTTATATTTTTATTTGTTCAAGTATGAAAGAAGCTATATAAGAAAGAACTGTTACGGATATAATGAGAAAGAACTATTGTGGATATGTTAGGTTTATTCATGTGAGAAAAGAAATTCAACTGAATTCGATACTTAAAAGTTAAAATTGCAGAAAAGCATCAGTTTAGTTCATGTGTAGAAGTTTTCATCTGTGACATCTTGGGCTATACCAGAGAAGTCTTGTAGGAGAAAAACTGTGGAATAGAAATGTTGATAAATCTTCAGCATGAAGCAAACCTCCTCCCACATGTACAGATTCATAATGGAGAGGAATCTTAGGGAGATGTTGAATGTGGAAAACCCTGGAGCTTAAAGCAAAACCTCAAAGGTCATGAATATGCATACTGAAGAGAAAGCACACGAATGTACTGAATGTGGTAGTGTTCTCTAGAGTTTCGTCACTTACTCAACATTTAAGAAGTCATAGAGTGGAAAAGCGATATAAATGTTGAAAAGCCTTCACCCAAAAGGGAAACTTGCTTCCTCATTAGAAACATCATATTGCAGAGAAACCTTATGAATGTGTCAAGGTTTCTAGTCAGAGGTCAAGCCTCATTAGACACCAGATAGATTATACATGTAAGGAATGTGCGAAAGCCTTTAATCACAAATCCTATCTCTCTGAGCATGAGAGTTCATACTGGAGAGAAACCATTTGAATGTGATCTGTGTGGAAGAGCCTTCACCCAGAAGCAATACCTCATTAAACGTCAGAATATTCAAAGTGGAAATAAACCCTTTGAATGACATGAATGTGGGAAAGCATTTAGCCAGAAGGAAAACCTCATTATTCATCAGCTAATCTATACTGGAGAGAAATCTTTTGAATATAAAGGATGTGGGAAAGCTGTCATTCAAACGTCAAGTGTCATTAGTCACCAGAGGATTCATACTGGAGAGAAGCCCTATACAAGTAGAGAATGTGGGAAAGCCTTCAGTGGTAGATCAGATCTCACAGATCATGAGAAAAATCATATTGGAGAAAAGCCCTGTAAATGTAATGAATGTGGAACAATCTTTAGGCAGAAGTCACATCACATCAGACATCAGAGAACTCATACTCATTGAAGCTCTGTGAATGCCTTTAAGAAATCCTTCAGGAGAATTTATACTTAACACGTATCAGAAACTTCCTTTTATAAAAAAGTGACCTAATGGTGAAATCCTTCTGTAACAATTTAAAATCAAGATTTTTAACAAGAATTATTACAGTATTGTGAAAGCCCATACCCTTACAATTAACAATGCTGTTCTTTTATAAGCTTTCTCATTAACTGGGTTGAGACATGAACACTATTAGTTTAACTACTAATCTTACTGCTAGGTGTTCTACCTGATATAGTATGTTGTCAGATACAAGGATTGGCACTTGAGGCAAACTGGTTTACAGTTGTATGATTTGTAAAGGTAAAATTATTTGTTTTAAATATAGTTTTAGAAACTAGAAAATACTGAGTATAAAAATGTGTATGCAGTTATGAGAAATTGGTAATAGAAGTGGCATAAAAAATTAGAGAAAACAAAGATTATTAAAAAACTGGTTTCAAGTGGTTCTACACTGTTCTGAGTTGGGATCAACTTGATGGTAGTACGGTGTTTTTTTTGTAGTGCTGTGTGGGGAAGATGGGTGGAAGGCGTGTTAATATGTAGGACTCTCCATATTACCTCTTTAATATTTCTTTAAATCTAAAAGTACTAATAATAAGACTTTTATTAACAACAAATTTTAAAATTCAAAAAAAGTAATTAGGGAAGAAATAGTTAATGACCCAGAATACTGAGGTTTTGGTCAACCTTTCTTCCCCCACGAGTGATAGGTTACTCATATCTACAGTAAGTATAGTCTTTGAGTGCAGTGGAAAGTACACAATGGAAATGGCAGTCCAAACAGCTAAGTAGGAATCTCAAATTTTTGCTGTTGTTAAGGAACTGAGCAGAATAGCAGATTGGCCATGTGACTCTTATTCAACAATCACCCATTGATGTTATCCTACTTTCATTAGTTCATTGTTGCATAAATCAAATTCTAGACAAACGTGACCCTTCAAACCTAAGAGGAATTTTAAGAAAATGTTATAGTTGATTGACCTTATTCCTTAAAAATAGTTGGGAATGCAAGACACAGATGGTTCTTGCAAGCATAATATTTAAATGAAAGAAGTCAGATGCTAAAGACTACATGTAGAGGGATTCTATGGATATGTCATCCCAAAGCAAACAAAATCTGTGGCAATAGTTGTTGTTGCTTATGAGTTTACTGGGAAGGCATATGAGGGAGCCTTTGGGTGCTAGAAATGGTCTGTGTCTTTATCTACATGGTAGTAATATGCACGGGGAAAAATTACTAAGTTTTACTAGTGTCTTGTCAGCTGTATCTTCCATTAAATATATTTAAAAAAAAAAAACGCAGCCAAGCAGTAGAGCCCATGGGCCTAGGCCTGTTTTGTAAGAATTTGATGAGCGTGGGCAGCAGTCGTTCAGGTCTCAACTCTGTTTCTTTGGAAGTGTTTAACCATTTTGGATTTCAGCTGTCCCTCCTGAATACAGCATAATTGAAGACCAACATCCCTTCTGTCCACATGTTGTTGCAATTCTCTCTGGAACCTATTGATCTGTTAGAATTAAATGACATAGACTTTGACCTATCTCTTGCAGAGTCAATGGGGCAGTTAGCAACTTTGAAGAGTTCCGGAAAGCTTTTAACTGTCCTCTCAATTCCACGATGAACAGAGGCGTGGACTCCTGCCGACTGTGGTAGTCAGGCCTCTTATCTCCTCGCGTCTGGAGCAAGCTGCGCATGCACAGTGCCACTCACTAGCTTCTGCACTGGGCAGTCAAGCCTCCATTGCTCAAGGCCTGTGTTGTCTGAGACTGTTTCTTTTTCATTCATTTTCGTTATTGTGGTAGAGGGCCTGCTTGGATCTAAGTCTTATCTCAAAGTTCGAGGACTTTAAAAAACCTTTAGGATATATGAAATGAACCAAGTCTGCTCCTTTAGACAACCTGACCAGCAAAAACAAATTCCTGGGCTACCATTGCTAAAACGCTATCTGCTGAGTTGCCATTGCCTATTTCAGCACACTGGGCACAGCTAAGTGGCCCACACCACATTAACCTGCAGCTTTACAGGGGACCAAAATTAATGCATCCATGAAATGTTCAGTTACTAAAACTAGTAACCTTCAGTCATGGAGATGTTTATGTCAGTACCTTGGAGGTCTAATGCTCTGCAGAAAGTGGTGCTAGATTTTATGTACAGGATTAGACAGCATTTTTAACCCTAAGATAAATGGGAAATGTTTTGCCTCTTCACCTTTCCATGTCTTAGTGACACTGTTGTCCTCATTTTGAGGCCTATTGGAATGGAAACATGCCTTTCAACATGTGTCTGATGTAGCTGATTGTCCCGTTGAGGTCCGCAGAAATAAAACTGGCAGAAAACCTTCTTGGTGAAGATTTTGAGCCTCTCAAATAGAAAAAGAGAATTGGTCTTCAAGGCCTAGAAGAAGTCAAAGCAATAGGGAGCCTAGAAGCTGTAATCTCCTCAGTTACATCTCGTCAGAGCTCATGTCTGGCTGCTAGAGAAAGCTTTAGTCCAGACAGTTTTCTTTAGTCCAGTTTCTGTTCGTCTTTTTACTTTCCTAATGTGCGTTCTCCTGTTTCTGAATTGTCGGGGTATTAAGAAAATTATTTTCTTATTCCCTGTTAAGAGTGTACAACTTTTTTATCCTTTTAGTGCAAAGAAATACATACCACCCTGAGGAGAAAGCAAAGTGCCTTCCTGTTTCAGTTGATTTCTTGTTACTTCTGTTTAAGAAAACGTCTTTTGAAAAGGTTCTTTTTGGAGACATTTTACAATTTAAAATTTCCTGTGTAGTCGAAAGGAACACAGCTTGTACTCTTTAACTCTTCAAAGGGTCTGGAAGAAAGAATGGCGCTGCGTGTTTGATCTTCAGAGCTTTTCCCTTTGAAGGGAACTCCTCCACCCTTGTATGAGTGAGTGTGGAGGATGCAATCCAAATGGCCTCAAAGCAGTTACCTAGCGCTTCCAGATTTCCAAAATAGTTGTTCCCTGGTTTGCACATTACTCATTGTACAGGAGGTGCTGGAGTGTGTGGGCCAATAGGAGAGTCTCAAAAGCAAAATGATGAACTGATGCTAACTGCGGGAGACCATTTTGCATCCCTGTGATCTGTTACCCTTTTTTTAAAAAATATACATATACATGAGTGTGTGCCAGGTCTTTTTGTAACCGTGGGAACTTATGAATTGAGGAAAATGGAGACATACCATCATGAAGAGAACATTTATACTGTGTTAGCCAGAGGAGAGTGATTTTCCCCTTGACTTCCTCCTCTCCAAACGGATACACTTCTGAAGGGGGGGTAGCTCCTTTTCCCTCCTCTAACCATGGCTTAATGTCACTGTACTTTGCAGTTCTAAAAACAAATGAGAGTAGATTGGGGTGCTTGAAATTAATGTGCCTTTCCCCTGAAGGAATCTTTCTAATTTGGCTTAGACATATAAAATACTCTTTGTTTTATTCCTGTACATGGGCATTTAAAGTCCCTTGAAGTTTGCTGTGCTTACTTAAACAATGTTTTTCCTTCTGGAATTTTTTTTTTTTAAAGGACCTCCAATAGACAGGTTAGAGAAAGTTTATTGAAGGCATGTAATTTTTACTTTGAAGAGAGGAATTATTTAATCACTCTCTGATTTGGGAAAATTGATTGATTAGTGGTCAGTTGTGACCGTCACCATTTCTAAATGTATGCTGTTGCATTGCGCTGATGAATTTTATTTGATGGGACTTGGTTACATGAGCATTGTAGTTAGGATTGCCATTATTAAAATCAACACAGTACAAAACAGAGTGTGAACCAAACCAAAAGCAGCACTTCTAAATCATCACTGTAATTTTCTAGGACAGTTGGCTTTCCAGCCTGGTCATGCGTCATTGTTCAAATTATACTCTCATCATCCCTCCTCAGCAGCACAGACTGCTGAGAGACACACACTGATTGAGTGGTAGCAAGAAGAAGGTAAGGCACGACTTGAGGGGAACGAAATGAAGCAGGGAGAAGAGAAACTGACCTAGCAGTGTGTCTTTGAAGAGAAAACAGGAATTTTTGGCAACCTTACTGGAGAAGAGAGAAAGTTTAAAAAAAGTAATTATGGTAAATTTAAAGAAAATTAAATACTGGATCTCAGACTAGGGGTGCCATAACAGACTTCCCTGATTCGTATACCAGCCTACTAGGGAACTGCTGTAGTCTGAGGGTTGGAAGGAGTTGGGCTTCATGAAACTCTTCTGGATCTGTCACAGAATTCATGTATATAAAATGGTTTTTTTGGGTCCTATCACCATCTCCCCAAGTTTTTTGAGCTTTTCACCAAGCACCCAGAATTGGCCTTCTATTTTCCATTTTCTCCTTTTTATGAGCTGGACTTGGACATGACTAATACAAGCTGAGGAATCATAAATTATCCTGAAGTTTATTTAGTGCCTTTCCTCAATGGAGCTTACAGCAGAGCACATAAATTTTCTCTTATTTAGCCCTGGAGCATTGCTAAGAAGCAGCTAGAAACTATGGCCTGCCAAACAGGAAATGCTCCTGCCAGAGAAGTGGATAATATGAAATAGCCTGTCAGGTATCCCAGTGTCAGGAAAGGCAGAGCCTCCGCACCTTGTGCTACTGATACTTGGATTAACGTGCGTCCCTCCAAATAACCTATTTCCAAATGCATTTATTCATTCAGCGTTTCTATTGTCATTAATATTTGATAGCCTTCTTCCTTGATATTTTTAGCATAATGCCTCAGTTACATATTGTAATGTGGAATATATGATTATTTCATACAAACATCATTCTCATCACTTGTGGTAATCCCTCACAGGTTTGAAGGAAGATGTTCTTGGATTATGCGTTTTGTAGCTACATATTCATTATGAGACGCACTTGGTTGTATTTTCTTCCCTTATTCTTGAAGCAATGTGAACAAATACTTTAAAGACAATAAAAATATTGCTGTAGATTTTCTGTTTGTCTCTTTATTTAGCAATGTTACAACCTGTTAGATCTATAACATATTCAGGTCTGTTGCAGACAATACTATTCTCCCAAAAATATAGTTGCTCAGTACAGTAGTTGATTCATATTCTTGGTTTGGGAAATTGGGATTTGCAGTTAAATAAAAGATTTTCAAGGTGGTCAGTGTTTTTTCTTCTAGAATATAAATTTTCAGCTGCTGCTTTACAGCAATGTTTCTAATGGGAAAAGAGACGCCTCTGAGGAAAGTACCAAACAATAGGGCTGGTGTGGAAAAGGTGACCGTAAATATGACTGATACCAAGCCAAAGTATTTCCTTGTGATGTTAGCTTTCTTTGAGGAAGCTCTGCTGGCCGTAGTGGGAGGAATCTGCACTGCAATCCTGAAGAACACAGTTCAAATCCACCAGCTGCTGCTCTATGGGAGAAGGGTGGGCAGTCTCCTCCCCTGTGATTACGGCCTATGAAAACCCACTCGAGGGTCAGCTGTGGGATGATTCAAACTCGATGGTACCCAACCACAACAACATTACCATTCTTTAGACAATTATATGTATTTAATATACAATAACTGAAAAGCCCTTATGTTTAAAGTGATATACTTTCTGTATTTAGGTGACTACTGTGATCATTGTTACCAGCGAATCAATGACAACTAATAGTGGCCTTGCTTTACAGCAGAACGAAGCCTAACTGCTCCTGCCCCCTCCTCACTCCATTGCTTTGCTTGAGGCCATTGTTGCACTCTCTGAGTTAATCCACCTCATTGAGGGTCTTCCTCTCTCTTCTGTTTATCTGACCTTTATGCGTGATGTCTGCCTCACCAGTCTCACTTCTGAGTCACTTTCTGGCTGTGCATCTTCTGAGATGACCCTTTGGGTAGCCAAGATGTGTCCATCATTCAAGGCATCAGTTCTCCTTCAGTCTCCTTATTCATTGTCGAGCTTTCACATTCCCATGAGATTAGCTTTTAGGGCACATCTTAGTCCTCAAAATGACATCTTTGTCCTTTCGTACTTTGAAGAGATGTTCTGTATACACTGCGTTATTGGTGGGATGATAGATACATCAGTTTATGGTGTGGAGCAAAGAGAAGGAATTCTCCCACTCTCCTCTAGTGGTCGCTACTAGTAGTGGGTACTCTAGTCAGTACTTCCTCTACCCAGATCCCCGCAAAACCCTTTTCCTCACTGCCCTAACTGCTCTGTGTGTTTCTGCTTCTAACCTGCTGCTAATAATCTCTAGGGTGGCTGCCTGCATGTCGCTGGAGTTCCTTTGAAATTCCCAATTTCACGGAATTGGAAATGGCTGGGAGTTAAGACTGAAAGTCCCAAGTCCATACAGGTATGCCAACAAATTAATTTTCAAATTCAATCTGTGGGCAGGGTCAAGGAACTCTGGTGGCACAGTGCATTGTATATTGTGCTGCTGCTCCACTGAAGAACGAGGGTCTCTTCCTGTAAAGGTTTAAAGCTTAAGAAACTGGATAGAGAGTCCCCATGAGTCGGTATAGACTTGCCACCTGTGGATTTATAGAACATTTAGGGGTTAAGTAGAGTTCCTCTGTGAGTATGTTAAACAGTTTTCCAGCACTCAGAGAAGAAATGGAGAAGCACTGCCTTGTGCTGTTTGTGTAGTAGGCATTCCGTGCCGTTACCTCAGAGGAAATAGCCATCTGAGGTGATCCCAACCTTTTGGCTAATAAATGTGACTGAATATGCCTTGCAGGTGGTGTTTTTGCACAGTTTATGTTTGGGGGATGATTTTTCTAATAGTAATTTGTTTGGATGAGGATGCGTCCAAAAGCAAAGTAGAGAAATTAATAGTGTATAAATCACCTCTGGTACGTGGACAGTTAGGAGAGTGGAGGCAACGAGTCAGTGAGTCCTGAGACAGGTAAGTCTGCTCAGTCGCTTAAACCCACTGTCCTGATCAACACTTGAGGGACGCTGTTGTTTCCCCATATGCTTGAGGTATGTGCATGTATAAATTAAGACCACACTAGCTCTTGAACCACGTAACTTCAATGGCTTGATTCAGTTTTGTGTAATTTCTTGTTTTCATTACACTGAAAATGAGTGGTAAGGGCAGACTTCACCATTTGATGAGGCAGGCACCCAGGTTGTGATTTACCATCATGAGCCCATGGAGGGAAACTGGAAGTTGTGGGCTAGTCTTGGAGCTTGTCAACTTCATTTATATTTGATTGAACAGAGTTCAATGTCATTTCCAAGACTAATAGCAGGAGATCCTGGGACATGTAGTCAAGCTTTGTAACCAAAAGAATAAGAAATGAGTTTGCTTGTCTGCTAGCAATGTTGGCCACACCTTCTAACATAATTGAATGGTAACTTTCAACTCTTTGGAAACTCACTTTTGAGTACAACACAATGCAAATTTTAAATGCCATTTGGTAGCCTGCAGTTTATTCTGTAGGAGTCTTTTTAATTAACAGCTTAATTGGATAATTTAATCCCCTTTAGAATTGAGATAGGAAAATGAAATAGTTTCTTGTGTTCTGACAAGCCTGTGTTTTAAAAAATACCAAAGTGAGTTCTGAAATGAGCAGCACTAAAGCATTACTGCGATTTGTGATCAGTGAAAGAAAACCTCATCTATATTTTTTGGGGGGTTTGCATGTAATCATTCATATGCATCATGTATTTTACATGTACTTTTTATATAATCACTGCTGTACATTATATTTTATATAATTACCATTGTGCTGTGCTCATTATCACCCCATCTTTTCAAGCTCCCATTAAACCTTTCCTGTTCACTACCCCCCACTATCTTCTACTATGCCAATGATTTCCCCCCTTCTCCATCTATGGTGCTCCCTTCTTTCCCTTCTGAACATTTATATATATTTTACTTAATTATCCTTCTATTTTCAAAGTAGTGGCTTTATGCAATATTTATCCTTATGTGGCAGATATTTCACTCATCAAAATGCTCTCTAGTCTCTTCCAAGTTATCTAGTATTTTATGAAGTCGTTGATCCTTAGTGCTGCATAGTATCACAATGTGTGAATGTACTACGATTTCTCAATCCATTCAGTTGATGGACATTTGGGCTGCTTCCTTTTTCTTACTGTGAATATGGCTGCTGTGGGCATAGGTGTAAAAATGTCATTTTGTCGTTTCAAATCCACCAGTTGCTCTGCTAGAGAAGGAGGGACAATCTCCCCCTGTACCAGTCAAAAAATTTTTTTTAAATGTCCATTTGTGTTTTAGTTCTGGTTTCCTTGGGGAATAATCATAGCTGGTCATAAGGGATGTTCAGCTTTTTGAAGAAATGCCAAACTGCATTCCATAGTGATTATACCATTTTACAGTCCTACCAATGGTGCGTAAAAGTACCAATCTCTCCGCCTCCACGCCAACATTTGTTCACTGTTTTGTTGAACTTTGCTACTAGTGCTGGAGTGAGGTGTTATCTCATTGTGGTTTTGATTTGCATCTCTCTGATTTACAGTGATTTTTGATATTTCCTCTTGTTTCTTGGCCATCTGAATGTCTTCCATTGTTAAGAAGAGTCTTTTCGTGTCTTTTACCCATTTTGTTATTGGACAATATGAGAAGAAATGGGAACACAACTAGAAGTCCTGGCCTGCATAATAAATAGGCTCATAAGCATGGCAAAAAATGCAAAGCCTGGAAGAGGTGCGCGCCGGGCCCCTGAGAACGTTTGCATAGAAATGCGTGCTCAGAATTTTGATGTCATACGACTGTCAACCTATAGAACAGCTTGCAAATTAAGATTTGTGCAAAAACGATGTAACCTTCATCTTGTTGATATCTGGAACATGATAGAAGCCTTCCGAGATAATGGCCTTAATACACTGGACCATAATACTGAGATCAGTGTGTCCCGCCTTGAAACCATCATCTCATCCATCTACTACCAGCTGAACAAATGCCTTCCTTCCACTCACCAGATCAGCGTGGAGCAGTCCATCAGCCTTCTCCTTAACTTCATGATTGCTGCGTATGACAGCGAGGGCCGAGGCAAGCTGACGGTTTTCTCTGTGAAAGCGATGTTAGCAACCATGTGTGGTGGGAAGATGCTGGACAAGTTGCGATATGTTTTCTCCCAGATGTCAGATTCCAATGGCTTATTGATATTTAGCAAGTTTGACCAGTTTCTGAAGGAAGTTCTGAAGCTCCCAACAGCAGTCTTTGAAGGGCCATCTTTTGGTTACACAGAGCACTCAGTCCGCACCTGTTTCCCACAGCAGAAAAAGATAATGCTGAATATGTTTTTAGACACGATGATGGCTGACCCCCCTCCCCAGTGCCTTGTCTGGCTCTCTCTCATGCACAGGCTCGCCCATGTGGAGAATGTCTTCCATCCTGTGGAGTGTTCCTACTGCCAGTGTGAGAGCATGATGGGCTTCCGGTACCGATGCCAGCAGTGCCACAACTACCAGCTCTGCCAAAATTGCTTTTGGCGCGGCCATGCCAGTGGCCCTCACAGCAACCAACACCAGATGAAGGAGCATTCCTCTTGGAAATCGCCTGCAAAGAAGCTGAGCCATGCAATTAGTAAATCCTTGGGGTGCGTACCCACCAGAGAACCCCCACATCCTGTTTTTCCTGAGCAACCAGAGAAACCGCTTGACCTTGCGCACATAGTCCGTCCTCGTCCCCTGACAAATATGAATGACACCGTGGTTAGCCACATGTCCTCTGGAGTGCCCACCCCCACCAAGAGGTAAGTACGTCTGTGCCTCTGTCGCTGCTCAGAGCTGGGCACAGGCCACACTGCTGCTTTGCCACGGTCCCCTCAGAACTGAGGCCTGAGAGCAGAGCCTCCCACAGGGCAGAAACGACTGGCTTGTTTTATCCTCTTTTGATTTTCTTATGATACCATTTTCTGTTTTTTATCTTCCTTTTTTTCCCCCTACTGACTCATAAGTGTAGTATTTGAAGGAGGTTGCTTTTGAGTAGTGCCTGAGGTGGAAACTGCATTGGTGACAGCAGTGAACACAGTGCCAAAGCAGATTAGGCACGTTTGAGGCTTTAAAAAAAAACAGTATTTTGACCAAAAAAAAAAAAAAATGCAAAGCCTGAAGAAGATCAATGAAAGAGACCTTTTTAAAATCATATCCCAATGTAAAAAGCGTCTCTAGTACCATATTCGAGCATATTCGATGTACCAGGCATGCACTAAGTGTCATATAACTGTCATCTCTTGTTAACATTGCAACTCCAGCATATAATGGTGGTGTCGTTGTGAACCGTCAAGTCAGAACTAACCCATAGCTGACCCGCCAGTAAGTTGCACAGGAGATTCCCCATCTTTTTCCATTGGGGTAGCTGGTGGATTTGAACTGTGTACCTTTTGGTTAGCACAGTTTCTTATCACTAAGGTAGGGAGCTCCATCCATGGCATTTATAGCCTCTAAAACCCACTGGAGGGTTAGCTATGGGTTGGCTACACCTTGACGGCACATAGCAAGAAGCCACCATGTAAGAGAACCAAGGCCTTGAGAGATTAGTGACTTCCTCATGACCATTTAGCTGGCAAGCAGTGAAGCCAGATTTAAGTCTTGTTTTCCCAATCTGTGTTATAGGCAAACATATAGATAGCTCTTAGCCCTGGATTTCCAGTCCTGATTTAATATATTCTGATTGAACATGAAAAGTAACAAGAGACATTTCACATTCTTCTTGTAAGATGCAATTTTTTCCCCATACAGTGATTTGTTCAGCAATCCACAAAATGTACATTTACTTGTAAATGTGGAGGGTGTGTGTGTTGTGTTTCAGTAGGGTAATAGTGCACCTGATCAAAGCATCCCAAGTACTTCAGGCCACTTGGAGTTTTAAATTTTATCTAACAGTGCGGTTGTAGCCTTTGTTTTGGAACACTGTCATTCTATACAAATGCAAAACTGATTCTTGAAGAGTCTTGAGATACAGTGGATGATTGCTGCCTGAGTGTCCTGGGTTTGTGCGGCTTCTGGTTGATTTAAGCCCTCATTCTGGAAGCCTTTGATCTGTACTCTGTTTACTTGGTGATTAGATTCCTATGTTAATCCTCCAGTATCATTTTGCCTTTTTATTTTCTGTTGTTTTTGAGAAGACTCCTTGAATTCCGTGTCCAGCTTTTATATTGAATGTATGTTCTCCCTCTAAATGTAATTTTTTAATCTATAAGATTTTTTTCCCTTTCTCATTTTCTTGCATTCTGTTTTTACCTATGAGTTTGCTGTCTTCTCTTACCTCTATGAAGACAAAAATATCATCTGTTTTGAATGTTTCCTCTGGTCCCTTGTTGTTTACTCCTGAAATATTTCCTTTAGTCTCTCTCATTTTGGAAACCCTCTCAAATGTCTGGTAATCCTTTGTTATACCCTCGTTGTTAAAAGTGATGCATCAGAATAATTGTATGAATCACAGTGTGAATGAAGGATAGTATGAAATGCAATGTATATAGAATTTTGTAAACAAACCAATAACAAAAAAGATTTTTTTTTAAAAAAAAGAGCAACCTCTGCTTGTATTATTCTGACATGGCTGCCAGTGGGCAAGGAAGCCAAGACCTTAAAAAAAAAGAAAATCTAGACTGAGGCCATCTTTTAGGGGTCCTCCCTTTTTCTAGACTATCATGCTCTGATCTTCATGTTGAGGGTACATTCCTGGCTGCCTGTATTTTATGGAATAGAGCAAGAAGTTGGTGTTCACTTTGTGAGTTGCCACTTAATCTGTTTGTGTTCACCCTGTGATTGCTCAGCACCTTCCTGCCAGTCTCCTGAAATAACACTGGCTCCAGGACACTTCCTTCACCTGAGTCACTGAATGCCTGTAACTTCACTTACAGACTCTGAAGTAGTCACCCTGCTTTGTGGGGAAATGCAGACCATGTTAGCCATCTTTATTTAACTTTAAAATTCAGTGGCATGAATTCTATTCACATGTTGTACATCACTCCACAAAGAAACCATGCACCCACTAGGCCTTAACTGGCCATTTACATCTCTTCCCACCAATCCATCTTTTGTCAGAATTTTCTCATTCAATAACATATCTGTTCTTTTGTGTTGGGCTTCTTTTACTTAGCACAGCATCTTCAGAATTTGACACTAAAGGTTACCTAGCGCTTCCAAGGTCCCAGGCCTACAAGTATTTTAGAGGATACCTCAGCTCGTTTCTATTAGTGGACATGAAGAGATAACTTACTGTGGTTTTTATTGGCTTGCTTGCTTGCTGAGCATGAGGAGGTCTTCAAGCACTTACTGCAGAAGACCAAAGACTATAGCCTTCAATATGAATTACCTCTCAACATCAAGAAGATAAAAATGCTTACTACTGGCGAGCTCTGGTGGCCTAGTGGCTAGAAGCTGCACTGCAATCCCAGAGGTGTGTAGTTCAAATCCACCAGATGCTCTGCTGAAAAAGGAGGAATAAATCGCCTCCTGTACCAGTCAGATCCGATTTGACAGTAAACACATAAAAAATAATTTAAAAAATTTAAAAAAATGCTTACTACCGGACATAAAAGCAACATCTTGATAGATGGAGAAAAGATTCAAATTCTTAACGAGTTCATCTTACTTGGAACCACAGTCAACACTATTGGTAGTAGTAGTCAGGAGATCAAGAGGCGCAATGCATTGGGCAAGCCTGCTGTCAGGGACCTTCCCAAATTACTGAGGGGCACTGCTGTCAGTTTGAAGACTAAGATGTTCCTGAGTTAGGCCATGGCCTTTAACGTCATTTGCTGTGCATCTTAGAGCTGGGCCATGCATAAGAATTACAGAAGAAGAATTGATGCCTTTGATCAGTAGTACTGACGAAGAGTACTGAGTATCTCATGGACTTCCAAAAGAACAGACATGTTTTAAAGAAAGTACAACCAGAATTCTGTTTGGAGGCAAGGATGACAAAGCTTCATCTCACATACTTTAAGCATGTTGCAAGAATAGACTATTCCTTGGATAAAGGACATCATGCTTGGGAAGGTCAGGGAAGGAGAGGAAGACCCTCAACAAGATGGATTGATACAGTGACTGCTCTAGTGTGTCAGAGATGATGAGGATGATGTAGGAAAGGATAGGGTTCAGATCTGCTGTTTATAGGGTCACTATGAGTCTTAGCCGACTTGATGGCAAAAACAAAGACTAATGCAAAAGCATTAGGCCCATTGTTGTTGTTATTTTTATGTCCCTTTGAGTTACTGGAGACTCTAAACCCTAAACCCTGCTCTATCCTATACCAATCTCACTGTCTCCGACACACCAATGCCAATTACTCCAGTCATTGAATCAATCCACCTCATAGAGGATCTTTGTCTCCTGCACTGACCCACCACCCTCCCAAGCATGGTGTCCCTTTCCAAGGACTGGTCCCCTCTTGCAACATGTCCAGATAACAGTATGTCAGATGAAGCCTCAGAATCCTTGCCTTTCCAGGGTGAACCTGTTTGTATTCTTAGCAATTGTGGTGCATTCATTACTCTTCTCCAGCACCACAACGCAAAGGCTTCAATTCTCCTTCTATCTTCCCTAGTCATTGTCCAGGTCTCTGATGCATAGCAAGTGATTGCAAAGACCATGGCCTGTTTCAGGTGCACCTTAGTCTCCAGAGTGACACCATTGCTCTTCAGTAGTTTGAAGAGGTCCCTAATAGTAGATTTTCCCAACACAATATGTCTTTTAATTTCCTGGCTGCTGTTACCAAGAGTATTGATTGTGGAGCCAAGCATACTAAAGCTGTTAACAATCTCAGTCTCTTCACCATCTATCATGATGTTGCCAATTTGCCCAGTGGTGAGAATCTTTGTCTTCTTGATATTGAGCCTCAATCCATATTGAAGGCTGTAGTCCTTGACCTTCTGCAGCAAGCACTTCAGGTCCTCCTCAGTTTGAGGCAAGCAGAGTTGTATCATCTGTATAACACAGATTGTTGATGTTAAAGCTGCTTTGAAGGAATTGGCAAAAAAATAAGGCCCCCGGAATTGATGGTATACCAATTGACGTATTTAAACTAACAGATGCTGCCCTAGATGTGCTCACCAAGTTGTATCAAGAAATCTGGAGGACAACCACTTGGACAACCCTAACCCTAACCCTGACTTGAAGAGATCTATATTTGTTCCTATTCCAAAGAAAGGTCACCTGACCGAGTTTGGAAATTATTGAATATTATTAATCTCATATGCAAGCAAGATTCTGCTGAAAATGATCCAAAACGACTAGAACAGCCTATCAGGAGAGAACTGCCAGAAGGGTAGGCTGGCTTTAGAAGGGGTCATGGTACTAGGGATATTGGATATTGTAGCTAATGTTAGGTTGATCTTACCTGAAAGCAGGGAATACCAGAAGAATGCCTGTGTTTCATTGATGATGCAAAGGCCTTTGACTCTGTGGATCATAACAAACTGTGACTGAGTCTTAGAAGAATGGGTATCCCAGAACACTTGATCGTGCCAATGCGAAACCTATATTTACATCAGGAGGCAGTCATCAGAACATAGCAAGGAAACACTGCATGGTTAAAAATTGGGAAGGGTGTAGATCAGGAATGTGTCCTATCTCCATACCTTTTAAACCTATATGTGGAAAAGATTATGCAGGAGGCTGGGCTGAAGGAGGAGAAGTGTGGCATCAGGATTGATGGAAACCCCATGGTAAGAACCATAATAAATGATGAGTTACATTGTGAAGAATTGCATTTCTAGGACATTGAATCATTCTAATGCAGAACTTGAACA